TATTTTATTATATTTCTTTTCTAATTTAATTCTATAATAAAAGCTAAATAGAAGAGTAAACTTTTTTTTTGATTTTTAATAAATTTAAAATTATTCTTAGAATTAATTTTGCAAATTAAATAATAGTTGAAATAAAATTAATAAAATTGTATAAGGGGAATATAATAACAGAATTTGTAACAATAAAAATAACTTAGTTATGAGAGGTTAAGAACTGTATTAGAATTAATCTCTCTTTCATTGATACTTAAGAAGAAAGTATACAACAAACTCTTTTTATAAAATTTTAGCGTAAAGATAGAGAGCTGATAAGTTTGATGTATTGATTTTAAAAAATTCTTTTATGTTAATAATTTATACTTTGAAAGTTATTCTTAACATTTGTCGAGGAAAACATTATATTGTATTATAAAATATAAGTTATAAACTAGCAGCTTTTTTTATGTTAACTTTTATCAAATATCGATTTCAAGAATAAGAACTTTGGATACTTACATTCTAAAACAGAATAAAAAATTTTTATCTTTTACACCTTTTGCATACAATCTGTTATTATCTTTATTCTTCTTCAATTCAAGAATTTTTATGACATGCAGCAAATATTTATTACTCAGGTAATAAGCTACGTCATTTTGTCGTCATTTTGATATCAGCTTGCTACCAAAGTATATTTACAATAACTACATTTTTTACTTTTAGTATATGCGTTCTTCATAAAGTAAATATCAACTAAAAGAAACATAACATCAATGTTATAATTTCATTCTCTCAACAATGTAAATGTAATATAACATATGTACTACTTAATAGTTACATTGTTGAGTGTTAAACTACATTATTGATGTTATGTTATTTTTATTTAGTTGGTACTATATTTCGTGAACGGAGTGAATAGAACAATGTATCGAAGTGTTGCTGGATTAGTATATACATATTAACTGATTAATCACGTTCATCTCTGTTTCATAATCAAGAGCAGTTTTATTATAGATTCCACTTTGTCATGCTGATACTTTTGTTATACCAAAGCAATCTCGCCAAGCACACTTATTCGCTCTTTGACATTTGCTGACACCTTGTTTTTTACATTATAATTTTTTACATTATAAATTTTACATTATATAATACATTATAATACTAGTTTTTATTCGCGGTCGTTGCACATTTCTCACTGCACAAGAAAAAGATTTTGTGTTAGAAATGATGTGGTTTGCGCGTACAGTGTTTAAAGAAAAATTTTACTTTAAAACATGGTGACAATATTTTTTCTATGTGCCGTTATCTCGTTTGACACAGGGTAGATATACATACTTTCGATGCATTTTTAAGTTTCGTAAAGCATTATTTCTTTCGAGGATATTAAAGTACAAAGTTGACGTGATA